TAACGTAATAGAGTCGTGACTGAAAATCCATCAGAGATTTGGGTGTCCTGGAACCAGAGCAGGCCCAGATAGTCCACGATGCTGAGACGGATGCTCGAGTCTTTCTCATTGCCATTCCGTCTCTACCAAGGTGAGCAAAGACAAGAAACTGTCCAGGAGTGGGCACCTAGGGGAGGTCACAAGTGTCTATGGCAATGGTTCTCAAACTTCGCTGCAGACCGGAAACTCCGGGAGATTTTCTACAGTCCTCCAAGGCCTAGGCTACACCCTATACACGTTAAACCAGGATTTCTAAAGCTGGGGCTAAGGCATCAGCAGTGTGAAAAATCTCCCAGGTAGTTCTGCTACACGACTGTAAAATAAGAAAGGCAGATTGCTCTGGGAGTACGTCTGAGAAAAGAGAAATAGCAAAGGCTTCTTTGACAGGGAGTAAGGAGGGTGTTCTAGGCCAGGGAAAAACACAGGCCAAAAAACAGAGGTAAGAAAGCGTGCAGGGGGACAGTGTAAAGCTCTTTTTGGCTGCCATAAAAGAGGAGCAGGGGAGGCTACCAGAGAGTATCTGAACATGCTGTGTCGGGGCTTGGATGCCAGGCTGATGAAATCTTAGTGGGAGACGGGTATCACTTTTCATAAATAGAAGCTCAACCCTAGGAACCAATACCATAAAAATAAAACAAGGTGCTTCTTGTTAGACACTCTCACCGGCCAGCAATTCTGAGTTTGAGGCCTGGTCCCTTTGTGAGAAGAGGATGCTGGCAAGTGGTGTGTAAGACAGAGTAGCGCTGAGTAGGGCGGCGGCCGGGAGGATGGAGGAGAGGTACTGGGAATGAGCCAGCTCAGGGACGGACACGCCCGGTCTTTGACCAGCGGCCCTTGTTGGATCTGCACGGGGTGCTGGGCATGCTGTCGGTGTTTTCTCAGAGAATACCCTCAGGGTCTGCCATGTGTCAGGTGGATGCTGAGATGCCTAGAAGGAATTGGTGGAGAAGCACGGCAAAAATCACAACAACAAACTTTGGAAGGCACTCTCGTAGCTAATCGTTTCCTTTTATCCTGCCTGCAGAAGAGGCAGCTCCTGATGGTTTGATAGCCACGGGAAGAAGACTCTTGTTCTCAGTGTGAATGAACTTAACTGGTAACATACAATTTAACTAAATAGACTTGGCTTTAGAGATTATCATTTTTAAAATGCAATACTGAATAGCATGAGAATTTGGAATACCATGGAATTTGAAAATAATGTTCTGCATGGCTATAATTTTATGTGGGCACATTTTATTTTGGTGTTTGGTATTGAAGCGATGAGAAAATTACAGTGTCCATATGTGTGTGTGTGTCTGTGTGTGTGTGTGTGTGTGTGTGTCTGTGTTATGTTCACTAAGCACCGTGTGAAATGAGAACTTCCCAAAGTAAAGCTTTAAGATCACTAAGCAGAGAAAGTAATGGAAGGCGTGAGCCTGCAGTCATGGAGCAAATGGTACGACCCTATCTTTAGAGTCAGTGACCAGTGCATAAAATTCTCTGTAACCCTCTGGGGTTCTCTCAGAGCCTACAAGAGGCATAATCATGTCTGTATTTGGGCTACAGGCGTCTTTGTTTATGTAGATGGTTAGTAAAACCCAATCTAGAGCCTCCTACGATTGCATGACTAAGGCGTTTGCTGACAAGTGGATCTTACTTGACAGCTGACCCAGGATTATTAGTGAAAGCCAGTAGTACTGGAGACAAGTACGTTTCTGTTCATTTCACTTACTCATCTGTCCCATTTGCATCAATGGCACTTACCTTTATCTTTTTAATCATCTTAACTGTCTTTCCCAGCTGTGTCCTCTTTAGAATGCCAAATGCAGAGCTCCTGTCTCTACTTCCCCATTGCAGACCATCGATATCACCTTCGGCTGTAATTCTTGTGTTGTGGTGACAGGAGGGCTCAGCAGTGCACAAGCTAAAGATGAATGATGCCTCCTGGTTACCAAGGGTCCTCCATGTGCCATGGTCTATGCCAAGCATATCACTTCAGTTGTGATATAGCTTAAAATTCACCACAACGTTATTGCACTTTATGATCACTGTGGTACAGATGAGGAAAGCAGAGAGGCTGAGGGAGCATCTAGCAGCTAGCTAGCAGATGATAGAGCCGGACTTCAGAGCCTCGTCTCATCTGCTGCTCTGCCCTGCCTCCGAATGTCTGTGCCAGCTTGCCCAGCTCCCCTCGTTATTTTGGTGCAGTGAGCTGTGAGAGCCCAGGAGCATCCCTGCAGGGGTGGATTTGGAGTCTCTGCGAAGCAGAGCAAGGGCCTGGTGCTGCTGCTGCCCCGAATGAGCTGGCATGTGTCATAGCCAAGCAGATCCAACAACAGATCCACCCAAACATGGCATGACCCAACACAAGTTTATTTCTTAATCACATGATTG